AGCATTGGGTTTGGAGAGAAGTTTGTCTGATGATCTGCAGACAAAGAGTGAGGATGCAACAACCCTAATCCCAGTTCACCCATCACCAGCTGGCATGCAGGAACACAGCTGGATTTCCTGGTAGAAGTAACCTTTGTCTTGAAACAAAAGGCAAGAAAATACTTGTGCCTCAATTTCTGAGTGGTCCACAGGGTCTGCCTGCTGCCTAACTGGGACCATTTGCTCAGCAATGTATCTTGCAAAGCATCTTGGTTTCTGCCTGTTTTTTTTTCAGTATGGCAAGCAAAAGGAAAATATCTTAAAACAAATATTTCCTGTTTTGTGGTATTCAGCAATGAAACTGTAAACCACAGAAGGGACTGGGCCTGATCTGAAGGCCTTTGAAGTCGGCAAAACTGTTCCCACTGATTTCAGCGCACTTTGGCCAAAGTAGGAACAGAGCAAATGCTTCCTGCTCAAAAAAGCATTAACCTTCGGTGTTTAAAGAACAGTAAAATCTGACGTGTAAGAAGTGTTCTTTCAAATAAGGCAGTCAGAAACTTCATTTAATTTTTGCCTATTTCTCATCAATTTGCCACTATTTCTTTAAAAACGAATAAAATGTCTACAGAAGTCATAATCATGAATGAGGAAAGAGATTTTACACTCCCATTTGCTGCTTCCATTCTGTTTTGTGTGCACTATATTTCTCACTAATGTGATGAAGCTTGATTTGCTGGCTATTTTATCAAAGGGCTATAGACTTCCAGTTGATTTACACTTCATTGCACTGATGTCATTTGACAAATACATCACAAATGTTATTTATTTATTTATTTTACATACAGTTTAATCTTTAAATACCACAGTGGTCTTTTGGGACTGGGAAGAACTAGGTCAGAGATACAGATGTACACAGATTTGAGCAGCAAAGAGTTGTTCTGTTGCTGCTTCAACAGCCTGGTTGGGCAAACAGCCTGTGTGCCGTATCTTCACACATGAAATCAGCAATGGATTTGCCGGCAGATTTTGTCTCACACCATTATGAAATCAAAGAAAAAAGAACCTGTCTCCCAGCTGTCTACTGCCCAAGGATGCTGTCCTTCCAAATCAACAGACCCATCATAATGTCAAAAAAAGCCATACTCAAGTCTAATATATGACAACAAGCTCATTAGGGACTCAGTGTGTTGGTGCACAGCCAGTAGTGATGAAACACCTCCATTGGCCACATTCTGCATGGGACACCAAGCCCCAGTGCACTGCAGAAGAGCCACGGCCCACGGAGCCAGGCTGTTACCTGCACCACAAACAGTGAATCATCATCAGCTGGGAGATACCGCAGGAACTGGATTAAAGGTGATGTGGAGAACTGAAGGATACTTCAGTGGCTTAATGCCACTTCACAGCCTTCTTTGGTGGTGGTAAGGAACAGTCATAGTGCTAATTACAGGTGAGAAGAGTTTTTCAAGGAGGGTTTCCCTTTTCAGTATATTTCTCCTGGGAAACAAACTTCCTCATCTTTCAATACCAGCCCTGGAAATTCCTTGCCTCTGCAGGAGCCAGTGCATCTTTTAGAGATTACAATAATTTATCCTAGGTTTCAAAGAGAGGAAACCAGAAGGAAGAGGAGAGCTCTCCTACTGTTCAGAAGGAGAAACATTTACATTCATAGGAAAGCCACAAAGCGAGACAAAAATATAAATTAAATTAAAGAAATTAATTAGTGTGCCACAAGTGTGGCACTATTTGCATTGAAGTATGCACACTGTCAACCACAGCCCAACAAGAGAGCCATTCCACTTGAGTTTATCCTTGGTAACCTCTTCCTTCTCCCCTACATTTCTCGCTGCTGCAGAGCTGCACTGATTACATTACCTGTGTAAATACAGAAGAAAACTCTAATAAAGAAGAAAGGGTTACGAAATCACTTTATTCTCTTTCAAATGAAGATTCTGTGTCCTTCAGGCTGTCAGACCAGGGGCACCATGGTGGTCTTAAGTAGGAAAAGGATATGATCAAATAGGCAGTTCTTCTGAAAGAGTGTCTTACAGAAAACTGAGTTTCACATGAGAGTTACTAATATACTTTGGTAGTGTTTCTAATTGCAATTAGAAATGATGCCATATGGTAAAGCTTACATATTTTTATAGTATGTTAATGATTAACTGACTCTTTCCATATTTATTGACTTAGTGGGAGAGTGACAAGGAACTGCGAGGTACCTGTTTGGTAGCACAAGATTTGCAGGGGCATTTATTTTCACCTCTCTTCTGGAACTTGCTGCACCCAGCTGACACTGCTTCAAAGCCTTGGACAACGCTCAGTCCCACAGAAGTAAGTCTGCTCTACTTTTTATACGACTTCTTTTATGAAGTGCTGATGAAGAACAGATGGGGAGATATTTAAATATTTATTTGTGTCCTGTAAAGAATGTTTTCCCAACTGAGAATTGAAGAATTAAATTTTTGAGCACTAGATCATGGGGATATTGCTAGGAAGAGACCTTCTTAATTGCTCTGCTGTAGTTTTTTTCCTACTTCCTTTTTGCTGCAAGACATGGATTGAGCAAAGGATTTGGTCAGTAAGCCTTGTCCTGTATAGGCCAATAAAGCTGCATCTTGGCTATAAAACTTCACAAAAGTGGGATTTGAATGTTAATTTCAAAATGCATGTGGTGCCTGGCAACATCTACAGCTAAAATATTTGCTTAAAACATTAAAAAAAAAAATCTAAAGTAAATTAATTGCTGCTTACACAAGCTGGGAAAAATAACCTTGTGCATATTTTGTATAGGAAGAGTTTATCAGGCACTTTCTTGTCAAGGTGGTTACAGCTGCAGCAGAACTCCTATAGCAGGGCTGTTCAGCAGCAGATGGCAAAGGAGGGATCTTACTTAGCTCCTCTGTTGTTACGATTTTTAGTGTATTTTACCCTAGCTGTGCTAGCATTTACAAAGAAACAAATATTGTCTCTTACCATTTTGGAAGGCTCTCTTTTCAACCACCCACCCTCTGCCTCTAAGGAGAATCTCGAGTTGCCGTGTGAGGGCTGTGTGCTCTTCAGTTCCCCCTTCACTGGCAGTTCCTTATGAGGCACAGGGAGTGCTTACAGCTCCTGACTGGGTGCCGTGCAGCGTGTCCTAGCCTGATGCTCACGATGTTGCCAGTATTCTTCACTTCTCCCACAGACAGCATCTGGTCCAATTCCTTTGGCTGGATGCTGACTTGTCTAAGAAACTTCTTCTCATGCCCTCAGCCCATGCTCAGTGCCTTGCTCTTCCTGCTCTGTGAGCTCCTGGGGCCTGGCCGTGGCTGCCTCCTGATGGCATAGCTGTGTTTGCTTTGTGCCAGGCAGGCCCGCGGGTTTCCCTCTCCTCGATAAAGCTTCCCAGGAGGATGCCATCTCAACACAGCCGGAGGAGCTGTTCTGTTTTTCCAGCAGTTGTAATTCTGAGCAGATTCTACTGTTCTGCTTAGCCTTTAGTTGGCTCCATTCGAGCCTCAAGGCAAAGGCGAAACAATCCAGTAAAATATACGTAAATCATAGTAAGACCTATGATAAGGAGTTGTCCTGGTTCAAACCTACTGCCATCACACCCCATGCAAGTCTGCAATGTTTCCTCATTTTGATTTTTAGCTTAAGATGGGCTCAATCTCAGGAAAGTAAAGTAGGGCCCAAAAAACCAGTGAGCAATATTCAGAAATTATTGGTTTCACTTCTTTTTGGCATTAAAGCAAACCAAACAAAATCTGTTCCCAAAATGGACAGAGAGCTTTTACACAGCTCAGTCTCACTGTATTCTTCCTTGGTGGAACAAATGTGCAGGCTGCTTTGGTTTGTTTATTTTGAAACACGAAGAGGGGAGAGCAGTGAAGTAGTTCATAACACTGGATGTGAACATACGAGAGGAAGGGGATGTGTGGAGTCATAGAACTGTTTGGGTTGGAAAGGATCACAAAACGCACCCCTCCCAACCCCTGCCATGGGCAGGGCTGCCCCCCACCAGCTCAGCTGCCCAGGGCCCCATCCAACCTGGCCTTGAGCACCTCCAGGGATGGGGCACCACAGCTTCTCTGGGCAGCTGTGCCAGCGCCTCTTCAACCCTCTGAGTAAAAAAAAATCCTCCTTTAGCCTAAATCTCCCTTCTTTTGATTTAAAACCATTCCCCCCTTGTCCTATCGCCATCTGCTCGTGTAAAAAGTCAGTCTTCTTCCTGCTTATAAGCTCCACTCAAGTACAGGAACACCACATTTATGTCTCCTCAGAGCCTTCTCTTCTCCAAGCTTAACAAGCCCAGCTCCCTCAGCCTTTCTTCATAGTAGAGGTGCTCTAGCCCCCTGATCACCTTCTTGCCCTCCTCTCGACTCACTCCAACAGCTCTGCATCCTTCCTGTATAGGGGGCCGCATGCCTGGATGCAGTCCTCCAGATGGGGCCTCACAAAGGCAGAGCAGAGAGGGGCAATCCCCTCCCTCTCCCTGTTGGCCACCCTTCTTTTGATGCAGCCCAGGATGCAGGGCTCCAAGCGCACACTGCTGGCTCACGTCCAGCTTTTCGTCTGCCAGAGCCACCAAATGCTTCTCTTGCAGGCTGCTCTCAATGAGTTCTTCTCTCAGAGTGTGCATGTTTCTGGGATTGCCCCGGTCCAGATGCAACACCTTACATTTGGCCTTACTGAATCTCCTTATGTTCACGTGGGCCCATTTTTCAAGCTTGTGGATGAGTGCGTGGATGGGGACACTCTTTTATGCCACCCTACGACTTGAGCCCCTGGCACAGGAGCTCACTTTGGGAGGGGGTCTGAGACCCAGTAACCTGAAAGGCTCACTTACATTTAAGTGAACTAATTAAGGAAGCATGCTAGCTAGTGTCTTTTTTTCCCCTTTTTTAGCTTCCTCATTCACCTCCAGGGTTTTAATTTTTTTTTTTTTTTTTTTTTTTTTCAGAACCTTAAGACAGAACCTTTAGAAAGCAGATTTGAAACCCAGCTGATGCATACACACCACTGAAGGTAATTCAAAATGGAAAAATGGTTTACATAGGGCCCTAGTATTAGGTCCAGAAGTGAAATGTGTTTCACAGCTCTGAGAATTGTTAACACAGCCACTGCCCTCTGTCAGTATTACTGGTAACTGGAAGTAGAAGTGTTGACAAAATGTGAAATGCAGCTCCATTTTTCCTGCAACTATCAAGCGATGGGACGAAGAAAAGATCTTTATCTCTCAGATGGTAGCATTCCATTTTATTCTTTTCAAAGGTAAGCTTGAAGCACTGGTGACCCCCCAGATCACCATGTTGCCATGTGGTAGCTGAGAGAGCGGTTTGCTTCCATTTTTTCTCCTAGAAGAAAGCCTGTGGCTGCAGGAAAGTCACCACAGCTCCAGGCATCCTCATCTGTTCCTTGTAAGAAGGAGGGGTAGGCCATATGTCATCATGTCCCTGAAATACATTAGCAATAGCTCCACAAACTTCTTGAACAGCTGCCTACTGTGCACTGATTGATATAAAGGAAAATCCACAGCAAAACAGAAAGGATCCTTCAAGATTTTACATTCAGATTGACTCACTTAGCATGTACCACATTTTATTAACCTCTGTCTTTGTGCAAATTTCCCTTGAACACAATCAAGTTTCCATTTTAATTTTAATAGAGTGGGGCATTTGGTTAAAAATATATCCACGAAGGAAATCCCTTCCAAACAAAAAAAGATGTAGTTAAGATTGCAAGTGATAACAGGGGACTGTGAGGGAGGGAGCCAACTATATCCTGGGCTGCATTAAAACAGTGGTGACCAGCAGGGAGAGGGAGGTGATTGTCCCCCCTCTACTCAACTCTTGTGAGGCCCCATCTGGAGTACTGCATCCACACCTGGGACCCCCTGTACAGGAAGGATGTGGAGCTCTTGGAGTGTGTCCAGAGGAGGGCCACTAAGATGTTCAGAGGGCTGGAGCACCTCTCCTATGAGGAAAGGTTGTGGGAACTGGGCTTGTTTAGCTTGGAGAAGAGAAGGCACCTGGGAGACCTCATTGGAGCCTTCCAATATTTGATGGGACTGTAAAAGCGAGAGGGTTTACAGAAGCTGATAGTGATAGAACAAGGGGGAATGGTTTTAAACTGAGACAGGGGAGGTTTACGTTAGATATTAGGAGGAAGTTTTTCACTCAGAGGATGGTGATGCATTGGAACAGGTTGCCCAGAGAGGTTGTGGATGCCCCATCCCTGGAGGCATTCAAGGCCAGGCTGGATGTGGCTCTGGGCAGCCTGGTCTGGTGCTTGGCACCCTGCACATAGCAGCCATTCTATGATTCTATGAGCCTGTGGAAGCTGCTCTCCTTTTTTTGGCTGTTGTGTCCAGAGTTTGAAAAGTAATGTCTCTAGAAGTGCCGCAGGTATTTGGAATGATACTGTTGATGTGGCATTAAAGGTGGAATTGTAGCCCACTCTTAACACACTCCTCTTGCTTCTTTGGGGGAAAGCATTTTGGGTCAGGCCTTGTGTCTCCAGGCACACACACCACGTGAGCCGAGCTGCCTCCTCCTGCCCCATCGGCTTTGTAGCTGACCTTCCTATGAGGTATCTGGCATGTAACCTCTGATTGCTGAAATCTGAAGCTTTGAGGGAACTTCCCAGACAAGAATTTCCCACCAGGAAAGCAGCTAATGGCTCAGAAGACCTCTTGTAGCTGAGTGAGTATGAGTTCATTTGCCTTAGGAGATTTCCTGTAGTCATCACATTACATCATTGTGTTATTCAGATCATACAGGTAATCTTACTATGCTAATTAAATTAACCCCAGATATTTCTCTCCTTACTGAAGCGCAAAATCAGTCAGTAGATGATGTCATTGCTGTCCATGCTAGCGCAGGCTGCCCAGTGATTTGTGCTTTGAACTTTCCACTATAGCTGTAAGCACACAGAGGCTGGACATTGAAGTTTTCATCTCACGGGTCAAGAAAGGACATTTGCACAAGGACCAAGAAGTGTAACTAAAAATCTGTTTAATGAGAATATCAAGTTAGCAGCAGGTTCTCCCATCCCAAAGGAGCTGGGAATGCCCTCTGCAGATCGCTCCTGGCTTTACTGGGACCTGGGAGTGAAATGTCTGCTTTGCCCATGCTCCGTGTCTTCAGAAATGCCACAAAGGCCCTAGGAACAGGGTTTGCTGGGTGTGAGTGGCTTTCCCTAATGCTCTTTCCTGGGGGACCCGCAGCTCCTCTGAGAGAGGCTCGATGCATCCCAGAGGAATGTGCTGGATGGGTAAATGCCGCGTGCCAGACCTGCAGGCAAAGCGCTGAGTGATCCAACAAACATAAAATATTAAATCTGTATTGAAAGATAAGCTTGGAAATGCCTTCTAAGGCAGTGCACAGGCTCCTGATTTATGTGAGATATTTGATACTAAATACAGTCTTATCCAAAGATTGCCCTTAAATCAATCCTTCTGGCGAGTGATGTGTATCCATTCCAATTTGAAGATAGCAGCAAAATCTACAGAATTTATGTTTAAATTCTCAACAACAGAGGCAGGAAACAGAAAACAGATCACTGTTTTGATTCTGATATGTTTTTGTAAGGCAAGTAACTTCCTTGCCAATCTCAACATTTCATTCATTATATTCTTCCCAAGTCCCAATATGAGTAGTCATAAGTACAGGCTTCTATTCATTTTTTCAGAACAGCTAAATACAATAATTGTAATTTAGCTTCACCACTCATCTCCAAAGTACTTCTTTTCCATCCAGATTTTTCTCTAAAAGTCAGCACTACTACATTAGATAGATGAGATCCAGTGAGCAGGTAGCAAAAGGAGCCAAAAAATGAACCATTTCCCATATATGATGCCATGATAAGTAATATAATGTGTTTCTAAACATTTGTACCTCATCTAAGCATGAGACTTCCAACTTTGTTATCTGATTAATTCCCATTGTTTTTAGAATTTTTCTGTAAGCACTGGATTCTTTCATCCTAAGTGTTTTCTTGTTCTGAATTTTTGCTGAATCTCACAGGGAAAAAGAAAAAAGAACTTTTCCTATTTTTCAGTTTTAAAATTTAATTCTTGATATACTTAAATACACCATTTAAGTAATGTAGCATGCAGAGCACTCAGCAGTGGATACAATTATCTAATTTAATTCTGTGAGAAGGTGGGCAAATTCAACCCATAAAGATACATTTTGACACCATACACCTAACAGCTCCCAGTGACAGTGAGCAGCTGTTAGGTGACACTGAGCACTGCCTGTCTTTCATGAACTTGATATCAATCAGTTGACTAAATGGCTGTTAATAGTGCTTAGGAACAGTGTTACAGAAATACGGGCTCTGCGTATTTTAATATGATTCAGATTTGGCCTGTGTTCAACTGATTCAAGCAAAAGTAGAAGGAAATAAACACAAAAATATTTTGATTGCTCTTTTTTTTTTTTTTTTTTTTTTTTTGGTCTAAGAAAGATCAACTGATGCTTACAGAAACAATTGTAGTGTTTCTGTAAGCTATTTTAATGTGGAAATGTGTCAGAAAAAAAAAAAAGCCATTTCTAACTTCATGTGTTGGCAACAATACTGTATGGCTATTAATAGCTGTCATTGTTTGCATATATATATATATAATAATTCTGCAAATAAAATATCAGATTAAGAAAGCATTTATAAATTGGTGTTGTTTTAAGTAGATACAAGTACAAGAGAATATTCTGGAGCAACTTTCTCCATGCCAGAAAGGATTAAATGTACATTTGTAATAATCATAGAATCATAGAACAGTTTGATTTTAGGAAGAAATTCTATACTGTGAGGGTGGTGGGACGTTGGAACAGCTTGCCTGAGAGGTTGTGGATGCCCCCTCCTTGGAAGCATTCAGGGTGAAGATGGATGGGGCTTTGAGCAACCTGGTCTAGTGGGAGGTGCCCCTGCCTGCAGCAGGGGGTTGGAACTAGGTGATCTTAAAGGTCCCTTCCAACCCAAACCATTCTATGATTCTATTATTCTGTCTTGAGTGCAATGGAAACAGGAGAAAAGGTGTTTCAGATTATTTATGGAATATGAGGATCTCTACAACTTTCAGATCTATACAGTGAATTCAAAGCCAGATCTTCCCTGCTAATGAGTCATTCCTGTAGTTATTCAGAAAGCTGTATGAAAGAGGTGGGAAATTGTAGATATTTTTCATTTAAAAAGGCACCCTCAGTTCACACTCAGACTACAAAGTCAGCAAACAAAGACAAAACTTTTTGCTAGGCGAAATAGCCAGAGATTTTTCACCACAGTTTTAGGATGATTGGACAAGAGAAGCCAGGTACCCCCAGGGGTACTGATTGTATGCAGTGCATCTGAGGGCCTGTGGAACATAGTAGTTAAATAGAGGGAGAAAATAACTTGGAAAAAGGTGTGAATTTTCCTTTTGTGGCTGTAAAATAGAGATTGTGAGGGGTGCTATACAGAGACCCTTTCTTCTCCTTCTGATGCAGTGAGATATACAGAATTAAAGCTTAAGTGTTATTTGTCTAGCCTGAGCTTAGCACTTCACTAGAGTTAGGGAGGGGTGACTGCCAGCCTCCTCCACCCATGCATCTCTTGCCTTTCACTGATGTGTGCACCTGGTCACACCATCTTGGTTCTATGCTGTGTTTCCTTCCAGCACTCACCTCTGGCTGCATGGCAAGGCTCATGGCAGAGAAGGCCCCCACATGATGAGCTCCCTGATTGACACCTCTTACCTCCAGCTGGCTTCCTTTGCACTGGGGACAGTAGGCTGGATTCTGTGCACCATTGCCATGGGACTTGTGGAGTGGAGGGTGTGGCACGTGGACAACACCACCATCATCTCCTCTGGCATCGCCTGGGTGGGGATTTGGAAAGTCTGCTTCATCAGTTATACTCACGTCTCACCTGGCTATGAAGAGCAGTTCTGCCATAAATTCAGTGGTTATGACTCCTCCATCCCTGGCGAAATCTATGCTGCTCAGGGTCTCCTGGTGATCGCCATGGTCATGGGATTGCTGGGACTGACCGCCACAATATGTGCTCTGAGGAATATCTATATGGGAATCAGTCATAAAACTGCCATTATCCGTTTCTTCCTGGTGGGTGGCTTCTTCTACGTGTTTGCTGGTCTGTGCGTCCTGATTCCAGTGAGCTATAACTTCTACTCTGTAACGCAGAACCAGAGCATCGCCTTCCCTCCCTCCTACCTCATGCCCTCCAGTCCCGTGGCACAGGAAGCTGGTGCTGCCATTCCCATTGGGATTATAGCTGCCATCCTGCTGCTGCTGAGCGGGATCTTTTCTCTCTCCTACAGATTCCCTGCAACCACAAACACATGAAATCCTGATGGGATGAATTGCTCCATACATTTTCAGAGTATGGTCAAAATATAAGGATGGCAGCAGAAGTGATTCTTCAAATAAGAAACTACAGCATTTTAATCCACAGTAGCCAGCATATGTTGTTATAAGACTGAATTATCATCTTGATTGCCATGTGGGACCAGAAGTTTGTCTTTGAGATCATTGCTGTTGAGCAGCAATGCTAATTATTAAGATTTATCAGTTGTCCTCCTTATATATACATATACAAAGTCTATGGATTAACTTATTTTTTGTGCCAGATGCTTACTGTGTTCAAAGAGCTGCCTCTGATTTAATTGTCCTGTTAGAAATAAGTGGAATGACACGTGAAATACATGGGATGACATGTGAAACGTGAACTTGTTTCTTTCTTAGTACTAAAATATTTTGCCCATTGTTAAACAATATCTGTAGCAAAGTATATTTTGTGGCAAGTTAAGACTTTTGATACAAACAAAATAAGCGTCATCGTGATTGTGTCAAGTGAGTGTTTCCTGAATTGTCTTACAAACATACCTAGCCAATTTCTCCTCTTGCTCCAGGGTACATAAAGAGCTGTTTCTTTATGCTTCTGTTTTTCTTTCAAGCCATTAGCATCTTGTGTTGCAACACGTCTGCCTGTAGGCAAGGTGTGCTCTTAGTTCCTCACCTGTGCAGAGCCAAAAAGTCTGCAAGGGTACGTTTCTTCATCAGATGCTTCCCTGAATCCAAAGGTATTGCAAAAGATGGAAACAGTGTCTACAAGTTACTGCAAAACTGCTGCCAAAATCAGTGTTCTTAGTAACTGGGAATATTCAGTAGAACTTTATAAGTGTGATTCATCTAACCTGACCCAGACATCTGTATCTAAACCAGTCGCTTTAGTCTTTGTTTAGAGTCAGCGCAAAGAGAAAGACAGTCTAGACAGAAAAAGACATCTGTCTAAAATAGATGTCTAGAGTAGCTGGAAGATGACATGCTCCCAGAAAATCTCTCTTTCTCTTAATTCATTGTAATGACTAATAACTATGTTGCTAACAGAGGAGTACACAACCCAACTTTACCTAAACCAGATAAAATTAGGTGAAAAGAATCTGCAGTCTAAGTGACATTCAGTGACACTGAAAAACAAGAAAAGAAGAGAGGAAGGATGGAAAAAATGCCCCAAACGCAGCAATAAGGGAAATAAAATTTAAAAAAAATCAAGAGATTGTATGGGAGGAATGAATAGATAGTGCTGACAAGTTGATGACCCGCTGAAAACAGGCTCTACAAAAAGTGATTACAGTTTCAAAGAGATGTAACAAGAATTTAAGTGATTTAATTGTAGTGGTTTAACTATTCTTGATTTTCTCGTGGAGTCAGGAAAAAAAGAAAATAAAATGTAAAAAAAAAATAAAAAAAATAAAAAAAAAAGTGAAATGCCAGCAAGCCAGCTCATATTGCTTGTGGCTGTTACCCATGACAAGTACTTCTGCTAGCTTTAAGTTGTGGAGACAAAGAACGAAAAGCAACTCAGCGTTTGGCAAACCGCCCCTTTTCTCACCTTCAGGGAGAAAGGTAACTCTCCAGGTTCTCAAACTGTCATCAGCTCTGCTGCCTATGCTTGCTTTCTCCCAGGATCCTGTTTAATATTGCCTCTTTTTGCCCCACCAAGATTGCTGTTACTTCTTCACTTCTGGCTTAAGTGTCACTCCCACTGAAACCATTCTATATGTATATAGATCTAAGGAATGCAGTACTACCTCATTTTCTCCTAGCATTCCACTGTCTCTTCTGCATCTTCCACATGATCTTGTCTTTGTTCTGCTGATTTCCTATACAGAATCCCTACAGCACATTCATTCCCTCTGGTCTTCTCTTTTCTGAACCATCATTTGCAGTTGATGAGGTGCAGTTGTTTGTCTTTGGACTGTTTGCAGTGCTGCAAAGCTTTCTAGTGGTGTACTGGTAAAGGCTCAAGCTTTCATTGCTTGTTTATTCAATATTGTTTGTACTTTGATTTGTACTGTACATCCTGCACTACACTGGTCTGTTTTTTAAATGTGCACATCAACAGAACTGTTTTCTCTTCCCACAGGGATCACACTGATATTAGATATTATCTTTTTGCTGTTATTAGGCAAATAAGATGTATTCACGTGTCAATGCCAATATTTCCCTGCACAAATACAAGACCAATATTCCCTCACAAGGAACTTGAGCTTTAACAGCAAATCACTGATTCTACAACTTTTTCTGAGCTCACATATATACAGAAATGTGTATTAATTTGGTATGTTTACTAAATGACTGGGTTCAGTCCATATTTACTCTTCTTAGCTCAAAGAGAAAGCAACAAACACTACATAGCTGTTTCCCTCTGTTGGTCCATCCTGATGCATGACTGTAAAACATTCACCGTGGGTGAAATGTAGGTGAGGTGTTGAGGAAAATCCCTTGTTAAACACTGACATAGACTACCTAAGGAGGCAGGTGTATTTTAAAACTCAACTTTAGTTAAAAATAAATTTAGATAAATACTGCTATGCACAGCATAGATATGGTTAAGCCTCAGGGCAGAGGAATGGTCTAGCGGAGCTCTTGGTGTCCTTTCCCATTGTACTTCCAAGGTTTCTAATGCAGGAGACTATCAATAGTTACGTGATCCAGATTATACTTTGGTATATAATAAGCTGTAGCCTATGGTCAAATACCAGGGAATATTAAAACTCAGTCATTCCCTGAAGAATAGATAGGAGAGAATAAATTTTAGCTGAAAATAAGGAAGAGTCAAAACTCCTATTGGTCTTCATGGGATCAAGCCTATTTAATCTTAACCCCTCTGGGCTGTGTGATTCATTAAATTCTAGTGGCTGTTTACGTTCATTAAGACTTTCAAACCGGCAGAAAGTAAATTTCCTGTGCTTTTACTTTGTGAGTGAGGAGGCACAGTCACTCTGTGCAAATCTTTGTGATGCATCATTTAGATAATTTTAAAAATTAAATTACCTTTCAGAAGTTCCATTTGTTACCATTTCACTCAGTCTCATACAGCTATTTTAGGGATGTCTGCAAAATCAGACAGCTGAAATGATTGGGATTTAATCAATCCCAGAAAATGCAAAACTTTTCCAAAAGGCTATTTTTAATCTTGAGGACTTCAGGAAGCTAATCTGCAGCCTGCCACCACCATCATTTATAGAAGGACAACTGAGGACAGGCAACGAGCTGCAGCGCAAAGCCAGGAGTCAGTAGTCAGGGCCTCAAGGGAAAGAGATAAGACTAAGAACCGCTAAAGCAAATTTCATCACAGAACAGATGATATCATGAAGCTACATCTCTGGCTTCAGAGCAAACTGGGACCTGCTGCATCTCCAGTGACAGCTCTGCTCGTTCTGTGGGTTCCACCCTGTCTAGGAATGTCTCCACAGTGGCCTCAGCCTACATGTAAGTCAGCCTTTCTTTATTTTTCTGAGTTGACAATAAACAAGTGTCTTGTGATTCGCTCACATGCCTGAACGCACTGCTGGGATAATTATCTGAATACCAAAACCCTCTTTCGATTCTGCTGGATATCCAGGCATAATGACAAGACATCCATCTTTGACCTGCAGAACATACTCCCAGAAGCTATTGTACCACATGATGCATTTTGTTAACCTTATTTCTATTTCCGTCTACCCTACCCATTTATTTGTGGCCACAGACCAAAACGTGTATGAATATATTAAATACTCCTCTAAAAATACTTAGTACTGGAACAAGCTGAAAACACCTAATAGTGAACCGAGCCAATGGTACATGTCTACTGGGATTTCCTTCCTAGGCGAATGTGTAATTCTGACCTATATCATTTTTGTTAAGTGAGAAAGAGGAACAAAGAGACATTGTATTAGAAAGTAGGTCATCAAATTATTTGGATTACATCAATAAACATTTTTTCAATTCAAGTCAGCAGTTTTACATGAAAATAATCTTAACTGCTGACTTTAGGTTCTTCAGTTTATTGAAAACAATGCTAGTCTCAGAAAGCAATGTTTTTGTTGTCACATGGCTTATGGTATATTACAACGAGAGTAAGAGTGTTTTTCAAGAGAGCTATTTTTTGACTTTGGAATGTTTTTCCCCTAGAATGGAAAAACTGAAATGTCATAGGCAATTTCCTGCTCTTTAGGACCTTAAAATACTTCAGGACAAAGAGTTTTTACTTGAAAAATGTAAGTCTAGCTGGCATAGTGTTTAACAGCAAATTGTTTTCTTAAAATAGGAAACCAACGTACATTAAATTAAAGGCTCCCAGAAGAGACATGTTCTCTGTGAAAACACACCTTTTTCAAAACTGAAATGGAATTCCTTTCATTCTTGTCCATATGTGTATGGTCAGATCCAGTATCAGCTAATAAATACATATTTTTTAACCAATATATTTCCTTCCCTCATGTAATCTACTGTATTATTTCCCTTGAATAAGAAAGGTGAGATTGTTCAGTAATTACCACGGTGCTTTGAAGCTGCCAGCAACTGTGTCTAAACCAACTATATGCCAATCAAGAAAATGTAAGTCATTCTCATCTCAGAATTACAAAACCAATAAACACCAATAAATACTGGCTTATAATTTGGAATGGAGTATAGCATACACTGTCAAGCCCCAGTTCCCACAAAGTCACATTCTGCTTTTCTCCTGGGACATATATGGAAAAGACTAGGTGCAAAGTTAACACCCACGATTATATTTTGAAGAAACACATAGAGTTTACGTGGGATTTTGTTTCCAACACCATCCAAGGTTACTACTCATACAAGATGTTTTTCAGCAGCTGAATATGCAGACCCATTATAGGAGAAAGTGGCACATGTGAAAAAATAGATCCTGCTTTGAATGTTGCCAAAATATCGATAGGTATCTGAGATATCTGGTGTGAACAAAAACTATATGTAGAACTGGAATTATTTTACTTCTGGAGATACTGGAAGTGCAAATTGAAACAGCTTCTCATCTTTACACTCTCGGAGGATCTATGTAACATCAAGTAGCTGGCCATTTCCTAGTGAATTGCTCATGTAAAAATATGGCCATCCACATAATGGACTTTCAGAAGGCCTACTGAAATGCTTGCCAGCTGTCCATCTCCAACATGCAGAACAACTGATTTCATTGTACCTCAGTAAACTTTATTCCATCTGAGCCTTGTTATTACAGATATGTGTGAAATATGACCCATAGCTGTTCTGTGTAAGTTTCCTATTTGTAAATTAAATCATAGAATCATAGAATGGCCTGGGTTGAAAAGGACCTCAAAGATGTAGTTTCTCATGTAGTTTCAACCCCCCTGCTATGTGCAACCACCAGACCAGGCTGCCCAGAGCCACATCCAGCCTGGCCTTGAATGCCTCCAGGAATGGGGAATCCATAACATCTCTGGGCAACCTGTTCCAGTGCGTCACCACCCTCTGTGTGAAGAAATTCCTCCTAATATCTAACCTAAAGATAGTATCAACTTACAAAATGTTATGTCAATAAATACATAAAAGATTAGTATAGTGGGTGCTGCAGAAGGCACTGAAATAGTTCTTCTTGACCACTATGTTTTGTTTAGCCTTTCTAAGATATACAGATATATCCCCTGCATGAAGCCATCTGTGATGATATTTACAGAGCAGACAGAATCATAGAATGATTTGAGTTGGAAGGGACTTTGAAGATCATATAGCCTCAATGCCTGCCATGGGCAGGGCTGCCCCCCACCAGCTCAGGCTGCCCAGCGCCCCAACCGACCTGGCTTTGAGTACCTCCAGGGATGGAGCACCACAGCTTCTCTGGGCAGCTGTGCCAGCGCCTCACCAACATCTGAGGAAAGCAGGAAGGCAAGAGGGAGCTCACACAAGTCACCAGACCATGCCCTGTTTGGCTACCAAGAGCCTTCTCTATTGGGCTGGATGCTGGGGGACACCTGCATGCAGAGCTGAGTGCTCCATACCAGCATTTCCAACATCTCCTCCAGTGTTTACAGGTCTATCATGGAGCTGGTATCCCCCATGAAATATTTGCTTGCTCAGTTCCTTCCACTGGCTGATATCAACTAGTATCAACTAGCAGCACTTGGAAAAGATTATAGTCCTTGCTCTAAGCAATTTTAATAAGAGGAATTCTCAAAATCCACATGCCAGCTTTTTCATGCCTGAGGGATGCTGAAAACCCTCCTTATGGTATCACCAACTCTTGATGCCTGTGAGAAATGGGTGTAACAACAAAATAAACACAGCAGCTGAGTGACTCCACCTGCACCAGGAGCTCTGTGGATTCAGCCATAGCTCTTCAGAGACATTTGTAATTTGCTGTTTGAATTTGGGGGAACAGAAACAAGCCACATGATGAATGCTTTTTATTCAACAAACTATCCCTTATTAACTAGCTCCAGGACTCTGAACCACTGCCATGTCTTGGCTGGGGAATTGAGTGTTACTGATTCATGTTATTTCTGAAGTGACTTTCTCACAGGAACTTTGTTTTTGTTGTTTTTATTTGGTTGATTGCTTTTGTTTTTCAGATGTATGTAAATTCAGTGTTTGTTAACTTGAATTTTGCCTACTGTGTGAGTGAACTCTTCACTGGAAATCAGCTGAGAGGCATTTTGATTGCATCTTCTTAGGACTAACCTGCACAGTTCATGCAGTCTTGGAGAACAGATGTGATAAGTGTAGTTTTAAATAAAAAAAATAACCTGTGGTAGGAGTAAAATGGTGCTGTTGAAATGTCTGTACTTTTTAATGCATTTAAAGCTAATGGGTATAATAACCTTCTGGCAGGAAATGGCTCATCACAGGCCAATCCATCCTGCCTTTCTGATTGAAGACAGTGGAAGCATCCCCCGTGAACCTATTGATGTGATTAGTTACGAGTGTTAACGTTTTATCTTCCTGTCGCTACATCTTAGAAATGTTTGCATCCACCAGCACCTCTTGCCATAAATAGCCTCATTTCCAGTGATAACTCAGGAATTCTGAGAGTTACATTTTGCAGCTGTACAGTGCAAACTTTGCTTGGCTTGCTAATAGTCCGAACTTCCCAAATGGCTATAAAGTTGATGCAGACCGTCACCAAAACTGGTGGCTTTCAGGATCCTTCCAGCCTCCAAGTTGCTCAGTCCAGGCCTCCACTGCTCTCTCTGCATTGAGACCAGTCACTAAATAATTTGAAGATGGCATTGGCAGCACCTGTGCTTTGTGCCAGAACAATTTCTGGACACAAATTCCATGAGCTTTGGCATGAACATTTCAATTGTCCAATGAAGCTGAACTCACAGTTCTCATCAGAAAATTGCCTCTTATGTGGATGATAGTAAACCAGGAAGAGCAATCGATGTGCAGGCAGGCAGGGGCTGTCATTCAGAGGGACTTTGATAGACAGGTCCCAGATATAGGAGCTCATGGGCTAATGAGGCCTTGTGAAGTCTGACCAAGGCAGAGCACAGTCTCGCAGCTGTGCTGGAGCAGTCCCACGCATAAGAAGAGTCCAGAGAACCACTGGGTAGAAGTCAGGGGGTCCCAATGGGCAGCAGATTGAGCGTGGGCCTACATCAAGCACAGCCTGCAGGCCAAGGACACCAACCACTCCCTTCCCCTTGGTGCTGGTGTGATGCTAGGCCCAGTGCTGGGATCGCAGGAGAACAAAGCTACTGGTTCCAGCCTGGTAGGTCAGAGCATGGCATTGTCCTCAGCCCTACCAAGTGCCAAGAGGGCCATACTGCTCCTTTCTTCTAGGTGTGAGCCCCACCATTTTTCAAGCTTTTTTTTTTTTTCACATGATGCCATATGGCATGGAATATCCCTTCAGCCAGTTTAGGTCAGCTCTGCTGGTTTTGTCCACACCCGTCTCCACCACTGGCAGGGTAGTATGAGAAGCTGAGGAACTGACACAGCCTTGGCTCTGGGCAATGCTGCTCTGCAGCAACTAAATGTTGGTCTGTTATCAATATCACTGTTTTTCTCCTAAAGCCAAAAGACGGCACCATACCAGATATTATGAGGAAAAGATCAACTGAAACCACATCAACTGCCCGAGCTGAAACCAGGACAAATATGTTCTTTTTTTTGCCATGATGGCATCTAAGCACTGAGCACGCTTCCCAGAGAGGCTACAAAACCTCACTTTTTATAGATATTCATAAGTGGACTGCACAGCCACATCTAAATCCAAAGTTGAACAGGTACTTGGAGCAGATGAGCTACAGAGGGCCATGCCACCATAATTATCTCCTTATTCTATTTGCAAATCATCTTGTTTCTAGAGAATGTGACAAAAAGAACTCCATTTCTTTTTAAGATGTTTTAAATCAAAACAACCCTTTTGGCAATGGCCACTCCTGTGCCTGAAGAGATCAAAAAGATTTTTTCTTGTCTAAACAACTGGCGCAACCTGAAGACTAAAAGTGAGGCGAAAGAAGATGGAAGCATATGAGGAATGAAGGAGATACTATGGGAGGTATAGGGGAATATTAACACCAAACAGAAAGATAATAAGAAAAAGGTTTCTGAGGGGTAAGAGAAAAGAAATTGGAATGAGTCACTAGGGCCGGGACTGCGAGAAAGGCAGGAAAATGAAAATCAGAGGAGCAGAATGGAAAGAGGAAGGTGGTTTAACAGAGACAGGGAACAGTGGAGGATAAAGACGAGTTGGGAAGTAGAGAAAACAGGATTTGTCCACCTCTTCTATGCAGAATTCTAAATGAAACGGTCTTTTACTCAGAAAATGAGGAGGGACAATTTTACTTCAGAGATACAAAATGAACACAAAAAAATTAAGTTACACAGAGATAGATATAATGTAGGATAGCTGTGTAACTTGTGGAGTTGGAGAGGCACACAATGAGATGACCTGAGAAGGTCAATGTCTGTGCTGGTTGTTCTCAGCTAGCAGCTTGGTCTGTCCATTCACTTATAGGCTAATGAAGAGGCTAATGCAACAGGAAGATTCAGCCCCAAAGCCAGTTCAACCCATTGCTTGCATAAAGTCTTAGAAATTGTGCTATATTGCTGGAAAGCCAGCAGAGGAAGCCAGAGGTAGCACAGCTCTCAGAGGGAGATTACGAATGTTCTCCCTGATGGTTTTAGTGCTGGTGATAAGAAAGAGAACAGAAAGTCCCAATGTAAAATAAACTTTATTTTTTTAAAAGCAGAATCGGTTTACAGCACAGCGGATGGACCTGATAAGAGCAGCTTCTGCTTTCAAGGTTTTACGGATCACAAGTGTTTTGTATCAGATCGCGTTGGCAGAGTGGTATTGATGACCAAAGTCCAGATTAGGAACCACAAAAATGCAGTTACCCAGCTCCTGTGGTAAGTGATCTCATCCCTGAGCAATGGCTGGACGGAGCTGCTGGGAGACACTCTGTGTCTGCAAAGCATTCACAGAACTGTCT